GTCAGTTCATATTAATGAACATAAAATGAGATCACTATCGATAAAATGGAAATCCTCAAGGGAAATTTATAATTGCAACGCATGAAATTTACATACATTTTTTTACTTCCAATCCCCGAATTGCTCAATTACTTCTATTTCTGCAGGATTGCCATTAGGTAATTGCATTTCCAAAGATTTTTTCAAAATAAATAGCGATGAGTGATATTTCACCCGCCGGTGATAAGAAATCGCAATCACCATAACGCACTTCACTAATATTACTGTTCACAATCACGTTTACATTCAAAATTACAATTCATAATTTNATTAGGTAATTGCATTTCCAAAGATTTTTTCAAAATAAATAGCGATGAGTGATATTTCACCCGCCGGTGATAAGAAATCGCAATCACCATAACGCACTTCACTAATATTACTTTTCACAATCACGTTTACATTCAAAATTACAATTCATGATTTCGTTTTGTAGCAAATATGAAATATAGGTATATCCATTTACTTAAATGTAAACGGATTAAGAATAGGGTGGCCAGATATTATAGTGACATAATCAGTACAGTTGGGATCAAAAATCAGTACAAAGTCATAAAAATCAGCTCATTTTTAAGCGTATTTTTTATTATTAACAATATAACAACCAAATAACAGCGCATTAATTTAACAAAAAATAACTAATATACTTTTAAATACATATAGTATTATCAATATAAAAATTCATTACTTTAAAACAAATCAAAGGTATTACGTATGTATGTACAGCTGTGTTCAGGAAAATAGTAGTAAAATGTATTGACAGGTTTTAAAAATTTTGTATTTCCTTACTTAATTTAATTTTTTTATAAAAATATAGTTAATTCTATAACAAAAGACATGTGCGTTGAAGTCTCAAACTTTCTAGAAAATTTATAAAAATTGAGAAAAATAAAATAAAAATTTGTAGCCCATTCAGTTTCAGTAGAAGCCGAGCTCGAGTCAGAATCTGTTTGCATATTTTAAGCTACAAAATTAAAACTTATTTAGTTGGTGTGCTTATTAAATACAACATTCACATTAAAATGTTGACTAAAAGGTATATTACCGAATTATCGGTATACGAATTTACCAACCAATACATGTAAACCTCAAGTAAATGTCAATTACACCAATTTACAAAAGTATTAAATGTAAAACTCAGTACAAAATCAGTACAAACTCAAAAAATCAGTAGATTTTGCGTACTGATTTCGGGCTCTTCAAAATCAGTACAATAGAAAAAAATCAGCACATGTACTGAATAAATCAGCGCATCTGGCCACCCTAATTAAGAATCAAAGTGCTAGAAGAGTTTTGAGCGTTTGGTACAAAAAGTATTTTTGATGTTTGAAATTGTACTTAAAATCGGCAAATTGTACTTTTGTAAATTTAATTTAAAATTTAAAATTAATTGTACTGAAAAAAGTACAATTGTACTTAAAATATCAACACTGTTTCACTGGCGCTGTACTTGCTGCAGCGATGCCAGATTTGAGTGTTCCCAATTTTTTACCGATAATAACTCATGCGAGGGATTTGGGTATTGGGCATTTTACAAGCCTATTAGGAAGTATACATATCTGTGTTCTTATAGAATAGTAGCTTATGTCGGAAGACTGGCTTTGGTATAATGAACCATTCGCAGCATACGATTGCGAAAGACTCACTGGCGCCGAGTCGTCGAAGAACTCTTGGAAAATAAACGTAAAAGACGGTAATGTTAATGGCAAGTCAATATTCGTATAAAGTTTCATAAAAAAATATAGGAAATGGTACATTTTACTAAAGCCAGCCTCCCGACATAAGCTACTATTTCATGCGAACACAAATATATTCGTCTACAAATAATGTTGATTATTTTAATTAAGTCCTAAGATAAGTTGTGAATCTTATCAGTGTTCTATGTAAGAACCAAAAATCAATACCCTCGCCAATTAGAACTTTTGCTTTAAAAGAAAAATATACATAGCGCATTTACTCAATACTTGGTCTGGCATCACTGTTTGAGCATTGATGTGCTCAGCTCACTGTTGCCAAGGTCGTGCATTTTGCACTAAATTTAGTGCTTTTGGGAAACCGAAAAGCCAAAATAATTGGAATTCAATGCTTGGTGCGGTATTTAGTGATGCTTTTTTAATTTAAGCACACCGAATGCATAGGTACATATGTATGTATGTATACACTATACACTAATATTCTACATTAAGATGGAATTCATTTACTGAATAAAATGTGAGGAATAGGTAAATTAAATATGTTTTACGTTGTTGTAAATGTATTGAAATTAATTTATTAATAAAAACGTGAGGAAATGGATATGTATATACACTTTTTACTGAATCAAAAAAATTATTAAACATATAATAAATACTTGGCGCTTTTGGTTTGGAAAAATTGGCTTTTTCTGGTGGCCTGATGCCACACTGGCTCAGTTGTCGCAAAAGTACACATACATACACGGATTTTTACTTGAAAATAAGTGTGTAGTGGTTAATATGTATACGATGCCATCTCCGTACAGCTCACTTCACCTCGCCTAGCACGCTCGCGTGCGCGCAGTTTGCCCGCGACGTAGACTGCGTGCACCTCTGCTGTGCATCCCTACTCTAGATCTACCGCGTGCACTGTAAGCAAAAGTTAATGCTTTCAAGGTTTTTCTTTTATCATCGTTTTGTGTTCATTTTCAAAGCATTTTGAGGACTTCCAAAAAGGAGCTGTAGTATAATTGGTGCACAGCAATGACTTCAATTTGGAAAACTTGGTGTGTCGGTAGTTTTAAAAGAGGTTCTTCAGTTGATAAAAAAAAAATTTGCAATCAGTGTTGGCTTTTGTTTCGCCAAAGGGCGTACTTCATGGAACTAAAACTTCAAGTTACTATTTTGGTACTTTCACCATATTTTGTAAAATCAAACTGGACTGCAAAATGTTAATATCGTTCAAATTATTAAAAAGTAAAATATATGACACACTTTCGCTCCTAAATACGCTCCAAAAACGTTCCCAGCAACTACAAAAACGTAGTCGCCTGTATACACACTTTGTAGCAACTGCAGTTGTCAGTTGAAAGTTTGACAGTTGCTATCTGTAATATCGTTTTGGCAACTAGCAACGCAACTAAAGTTCGATTGCTTTCGATATCGACCCATAAAATAACGGGTAAGTTGCTGAAAACCAGAAAATTCTAGAAATCGATGTCCTTTCGCTTTTCTTTTTGCTGTATCTCAAAGGAAAATCATGATACCGAAACAATTTTTTTTTAATTGTAGTAAATTTAATATGGATTAAGGATAAGCTTATTAGGATACCATCAACCCCTAAATTTGGTGAATGGCTAAAACCCAGAAAATTCACTGAAAAATATTCTAAAGTGGTTTTGTAGGAGGCGAAAACAATTTCAAAAATTATTTTTGTAAGGTGTGTTTTATTGGGATGCCATCAACCCCTAAATTAGAGGTTGAAATAAGGGGTGAGTAGCTAAAACCCAGAAAATTCATGAAAACGATGTCCTTTTGCTTTTCTTTTTGCTGTATCTCAAACGCAAATCCTGATACCAGTACAATTATTTTTTTTAAATTGTAAATTTATATGGAATAAGGAAAAGCTTATTAGGATACCATCAACCCCTAAATTAGAGGTTGAAATAAGGGGTGAGTGGCTAAACTCCAGAAAATTCACTGAAAACCATTATAAAGTGTTTTCGTAGCTGTTACATCAGATTGGCCTAAAACTGCTATGAATAGCATAGAGTTGTCGGTAACGACTGGCTTTGATGGTGCCTCTGGCTATGTTAACCCTCAGCAGAAATTTTACGATGAGGAGAATGACGACCGAAGTCCTTATCAGTCGCTCTTTGTATGCATCAATCCTCATTACTCCTGTCTTCAGGGTCAGCCCACTGTCTGAAAATGCGGTTTTATTAGTTAAATAATTATATTTATAAATTTAGTTATAATTAAACGTTTTTATCTTACCCTGGCTTCAAAAATCGTTTAATATCATTAGTAAGTGGTCTCTTCTTATGCATTTCTCGCCTTCTGGCCAAATAAACCGTTGAAAGGATTGGGTCTGACAAGTGTACTGCCCTGTTAAAAGTGTCCAGGATAGCGTTTTCTCTACTATTTCTTCTGGAATGTTCCCGAATTGTCTCTCTGTGTTAAATGCAACAGGCATTGGAAACTGCCGCACAATATCAGGACCATGTTGTAAAATTTTATGCATGGAAGGGTTCATGCGAGTCCATGGATATTTTATATAGTGGAGTTTATAAGTAAAATCACTAATCTTTTTACTTCTATAAACTTTAGTGATAGTAGCGAGATTGCAAACTAACTCCTCGTCAATATCTAAAGCGTTGGCAAAGTCTTTGGGTCTGTAAAGGAATTTTCGGGCGAGATTTCCATGGTTGGACGTTCCTTTGCCTTGTATTACTATTATATTGACCAGCGTACAAATCAACAGACTTTGAAATTCATAAATTGCTTATTAAAAAAACTCATTAACCTTCTAGTTATCGCCATAACAGAATAGCAGTGCCTATGTATGTACCTTTTATGTTTTTGGTGACATCCCATACTTTCACTTCTTGTTTATAAGCCATATGAAGCAGATGGCCGATAATTTTTATTTCACAGTGTAAAAGGCCAAAGCCATGGGATAGTGAGCCTTCCTTTGGTACGAAAACATTTTGATTGTTGTAATTGTAGGATGTTATTAGACACATTGGGCATCTTTAAGTGGCTTTGTTTCCTACAATCGCGTTCACATTTTTCCCATCGAAAAGGGTTGTTGCAACTGAAAATTCAACCATCACTGTAACGCATTTGTCCATCGTCAATTTTAAATGTTTAGGGTGTTTAAATGTTTTGGTGTTTCATTTTCATTTCTGCATACTTAACCGAAAATTTTTATTTTGGGTTGTTACGCTTGTACAGCAAAGGTACGGTATGTGGTATTTGTGCAAGCATTCTAATCAAAATACTTTGTAGCATTTCAGAATAACATAACCACCTTCCACCCTCATACAATATTTGCATATTTCGATAAAGAGAAAGTAAGAAATGTGCATGATATAGATGTGAATACATCCCAGTTTCAAAGTCGCACCATGCTTAAAGCTTTCTGTGTAGCCGCAGCCCGTGCCAAACAGCTCTATGGGGTATGATTCAAATAATTTATGTACTCATATGTGTGTTCGTAATTACTCTTTGTGGAATTTCTCAGGATTCAGCATTAGACAGTATTCCCCGGCCTATTGTGGTTCAAAGTATACATACTGATGGACGGACCTTCCACTTCGGTGTATTTCAGCTAAATACTCTAAGCATTAATAATTTAGAAGGAGTGAAAAATTTCTGGTTTCATGAAAACAATCAAAACCTTTTCCAGATATGCCAGTATGTTTCGGGGAAACCGGTTCTGGAAGGATTCAATAAGAATGTATTTAAGTACATTTATGCATTTTATAGAAATTCATAACTATGCACTAATATCAGTATTTATGTTTGTTTATTAATTTCGAGGACATGAAAATATGTAGTCCCGACATCAACTAATTGTTCATTAATAAAAATCGATGTAATAAACCTGTTCCAGGTACTCCACGATTTGCTGTTCCCGTACGACACTTTACATAAGGTTTGTTAATGGTAAAAATAGCTTTTCTTGTAAATCCTTCAAATCTTGAAGTACCTGGTGCAGGTTTCGATATATTCAAATCCATGAATGAATTATTAAATGATCTCTTAAGAAGTTTTATGTTTACACCAGGGACATGAACCGGTTTTGAACCGGAAAACCGCTTTTTTCTATTAATTAACTGAACCATTAACCGAACCGAAATTTTCCACAAATGATTGATCCGAACCGAAAACCGAACCACTTTACATAAAGGTTTAAAGGTTCGTTTCAACCAATTTGCAATAGATAAATGTACCCACTATTTTCTCTTTTTGTTAAACATGGTAATACCTACCATGTTTTTTTACCATGTGAGAATATCAATGGGCTGCCTACCCATCTCATTTGACAGACCGCTTAACCTTGCGCGTTGTTGCACTTGACTCTTGACACTTAAACCTGCGCGTTATTTTTTTTTTGTTTTTCGAACCGTTGAACCGAACCGAAACCCCGGCTCAAAGACCAAAAAAACCGCTTTGACGAACCAATCCAAAAGTGCAAAAACGGTTCGAACCGCTGAACCGAACCGACCAAATTTTTCATCCGGTTCACGTCCCTGGTTTACACTTCCACCAACAGGGTTAATTTAAAAAACGGGAGAAAAATGGGAATTCTATCCATTTGGTCAAAGGAAATACCACGAAAAGGTGAGCAAAATAATGCATAATGTATTTTAAAACAAAAACGCGAATTTGCTTCCTTTAATTTCCGGGACCGAAAATAAGTATTACACCAAAATTTTTATATTTTGATCATTAAAAATCGTTTTATTTTTTATTTTTCCATGGGAGTGCAACAAGTCATCGCAAAGTGAAGAAGTGGTAGTGATATCGTCTGCGTCACTTTTATGGAATTAGAATTGGATTAACAATTAAGTAGGTGATCTACGCGGGAACAATTTAAGTATGCGTTTCATATAATCAAGAACTAAAAAGTTCAATATATTCTTTTTGTATAATATTTATTTACTGAATCTTTCTTTCGAGCCTAATAATAAGTTTTGAAATCTTAGAAACTACCATTAAATTTAAAATTTATGCTGCAATGCTTAGATTTTTTTATATATATATATTTATTGCAGTTGTTGCGGCTGTCGCAATGGACAAGATTCTGAGCAACAACGCAAAACATTCCCACGACAGCCAGTTCTACGTACCAGAATGACTCGGGTTTTACCCGACCAAGCGCTGTGATTTCGGCGACCTAACACCGTTTAGATCGGCCATCAATCATTTCACGTCACTGGAGAAATACCTTGCAGCCGGATTGCTCCGCATCCTTCTTCTCCGGGTGGGCATTAAGCGCAACCCCGCACCAGAATACTTCTGCTGCGTTTGCCAGAGACGTCTCCATCCGAACTCCACTTTGGTTAGGTGCAATTCCTGCAACGGATAAAGTCACCTAAGAACCTTGTTCTGGCCTTAACAGGGAGTGGCCCATCAGCACCATCCGCCTCCACGGCTACCCGCTCGAGCAACGCGCAAGTGCGAACCCTGAGCAACAGCAATCCTGCCACCGGTAGACTCCACACGTCCCTCACTCCCCGTATCGCGACCAGCCTCCCAAGGCGTGCGAACCACCTACAATTGAACTGCAACGGACTCCAGAGCAATATTGAAGAGATAGCAGTCTTCATGGGTCGGCATGGCGTATTGATAGCTGCGGTCCAAGAAGCTAAGTTGTACAGTAGCTCATCCCGCGAGCGAGATAATGGTGGAAGATTAGCGTTCATCCTTCACCACACAGTGAAGTATCGTATAATCGCAGAAGACATCGACCCGAGGGACACTACCCTAGAAAGCCAGGCCATAGCTGTCCGGTCAGGCGATGTGGAGCTCGAAGTATTTCATTCCATTTCATTTCATTCTTTATTAAGTCTATAATTACAAGAATCTTACAGACTAGAAGAACACAGACACTTAAAGATAAGTTGTCTACTAACTAATTACATGAGCTTTGTCAAAAATAGAAAGATCTAATCTTAGACACAAACAGAGAACTCGGCATAACAAAGTCGACTTCAAGGGTACTATAAATTTTATTAAACTCACTATCCTATCAACATCCTATTAGGTACATGGAAGCTTATCTGCTCAAGAAGAGTCGGGCAGTAAATTAAACCATTAATGGCATCATAGATAGACATGAAAGATTGAATGGTTCTCCTATTCGCAAGAGATTTCAAGTCGATGAGCAAACAACGGGCACTGTAAGAAAGGACAGGATCACTAAAGTGAAGCGATTGACGAGCAAAACGAATGAAATTCCGTTGAACTCGCATAATTCNTTCGCAAGAGATTTCAAGTCGATGAGCAAACAACGGGCACTGTAAGAAAGGACAGGATCACTAAAGTTAAGCGATTGACGAGCAAAACGAATGAAATTCCGTTGAACTCGCATAATTCTATCAGAGTGTGAGTTGTAAAATGGATTCCATATTATGGATGCGTACTCCAGTTTTGAACGGACTAAAAAGCTAAATAGCAGACTTTCTAGTATAAGGATCCTTAAAGTCTTTCGCGTAGCGTTTAAGGAATGCCAAGTTAGAGTAAGCTTTAGGAATCACACAATTTACATGATTTATGAAAGTAAAACCCGAATAAAATAAAATCTCTAAATCCAAAAATTCCTCAACTGTGGAAAGTTTGAAATTTAAGACCGAATAATTTGAAGTGATAAGATTATAAGATTTTGAGAGTGTTATATGCAAGGTAGTATCAGTAGAGCAGCTGATTTGATTTGTTATTATTTTCAAATTATTTGGTCTCGAAAATGTCAAATATTTTTAATTTTTTCTCACAAAAATTCTGAATTGTTAAAATCCATTTGCATGTGAAACCTTTTCCCATACAAAACAAGCGATTGAATAGCAGCTTTTGGAACGTTCGCCCAACTCGGCAGCACGACCGCTGATTACTGGGCCTTGCAAAGGATGGATCAATGCTTCGAGAAGCAAACAAATTTACTAGGAAAGAAAGTTGCATCAATTTTTATTTTTTCCAATTTCAATTTTTTATTTTTTATAATTTTTTGTATTTCACATGGCACGCTTTGATTTAGAAGAAAAAATTCAGAACAGTTTTTGACACTTTCGATACCAGAAGCAACAACAAAATACACGCAAATGTTGTTTTTGCTCTACTGATACTACCTGTTTAATGTGCCTTGGTTATATGGAAGCATTTTTTAATAGGGACATAACAGTTATAAGTTTTATAGCAAAAACGTTGCTCCATAACAGTTATTAGATGAGAAATATTTTTTATTTCGTCGATAAGAGTTATAACCCAACGCTTATTTTTTACGTTGCCTGATAACTGTTATGCAGGAGAAATATATTTTCCGTTGCCGATAAGAGTTATTTCCCAACGTTTATTTTTTAAGTTGTTGGATAAGAGTTATTTTAAAACGTTTATTTTTTACGTTGTTTGATAAACGTTGTAAGATTAGGATATTGATGAAGATGGAGGTGGAGAATAACATAAAGATGATGAAATAAAAGTGAGAGAGTAAAATAGCTCTTATCAGATAACGTAAAAATAACCGTCGGGCAATAACTGTTATCAAGCAACGTAAAAAATAAACGTTGGGCAATAACTGTTATCGAGCAACGTAAAAAATATTTCTCATCTAATAACTGTTATGAAACAACGTTTTCGTTAAATTTAAGAATTCAGGCAACGTTTTCAATTTGTAAATTCGAGATAACAGTTATTTTTGGTCCCTGTTTTTTAATATTGAGCGATAGTATATTTCTGCTGCTCCACTCAGCTAAACTATCATTTGCAATGAAAAAACATCGGATAGACACGTAATCTTCCTATAAAGCTTCAGGTCATCCGCGTAAAGTCAAAATTTGGACTGTTTAAAACAGGAACCAATGTCATTAATAAAGAGAACGAATAAGATTGGACCTATAATACTATCTTGGGGCACGCCTAAGTAGCCGCAAATGAACACGATTTAGTGTTCTCAATTTCTACAAAAGATACAGTGAGTCACAGTCAAAGTGAGCCACACTATCTAGTTAACAGAATTATGTGAAAAAATAATGAAAAACAACACAGATTGAAACAACTTTTATGTTCATTTATTGTTTGAATATTAAGCTTCAGTAATTCATCACGTACATAAAATATTTCCTTTGTTTACTATAAAAAAATCAACAAAAACTAAAATAATTCATAAATCTATGTCACAGTGAAAGTGAGCCACCTAAACTAAAATTAACTTAAATAACAAATTAATATTTTGTTGGGCCTCCTTTCGCAGAAATTACGGCTTGTAAACGTCTTGGCATTGATTCTAGCAAACCGCAGGTATATGTTGATGGAATTGCATGCCACTCCGCTTGTAAGGCATCTAAAAGGCCCTTTTTCGACGAAATACTATGTTTTCGCACGTTTTGGTCAAGACGAGCCCACAAGTTTTCTATTATATTTAAATCTGGAGATTGTGGGGGTACTTCCAGTACATGGGGACAATTATATAGTAGCCATTCCCGCGCAACAAAGGATTTATGCTTGGGATCATTGTCCTGGTAAAAATAAAAGTCTCCTTCGATGCCTAGTCTTTCAACACTTGGCTTAACATTTTGCTTTAAAATGTCTATATAAACATATTTATTCATAATGCCTGGAATATGTTGCAGATTTCCAGTGCCACCACCTGCCATGCAGCCCCAAACCATGACAGAGCCACCGCCGTGCTTCATACTGGGAGTAAGGTTTTGCTGCTGAAACTCGGAGTTCTTTTGCCTCCATACCATCTTCTTACCGTCTGAGCCAAATAAGTTAAATCTACTTTCGTCGGTAAATAGAACCTAAAACAAAATATTACTATAGCCTCAAAAGTGTATTCTACCGTTATATACCTTTTGCCAGAAATGCATATCTTTATGAACATATTTGCGCGCAAACTCCAGCCGTTTTTTACGGTTTTTATTGCTAATAAAAGGCTTGTTTCTGGCCGTTCGTCCATTATAGCCGTGCTTTCTGAGGACCCTTCTTACAGTTTCGGGATTAACGTGGATATTTAATTGATTTT